GAGCAAATATGTATAGTTTTAAATGTACACTCAGTGGCCACTTTATTAGGTACACCTGTACAGTCTAATACAGTATGTATATATATACATATATTCATATATATTCCTTTAGACCCTTTAATATAAAAGATGGTACTGTCTAATTCACAATAATGTCATGAATAAAAATCATAACTTGTATTGTCATTGCAAATACCGACAAGTTTTCTGTACATATGCTATATGTTTATGTCATTGTAAGTTCAGACTTATATTGTAAAAAGAACAGCACCTCACCCATTGATTATTTCCTCTTCCCCTCCCCCCTTTCCTTTTTTTTCTTTTTGTCATTTGCGGTCAGTGTATACTATAATTGTAACTGTTTAGATGTGTGGGCTCGATTGTACTGTGCTTATTGTCTTCAAATCAATAAACATTTAGTTCCCAAAACAGAGCAGAACATTTTTCTTTCTTGCGTACTGTTAGAGTTTTTTGGTTTTTTTTTTGCTTTCTCATTCTAATCTACTGAGTTAATCTAAGTGTTACTGCAATGGGTGCAGCATTTGTATCTAATAAATTAACCACAACCCTCGTTTTTATTCTTCGCCCCTGGTTGGAAACAGCACTTAGATGCTTCTCCGGATATAACTGCATTTGTTTCACAAGGTGGCCTCGAAGCCACAGCTCATATCCGTAGTACAATCACCATCGTTATGTCCTTTTGAGTCTCTTTTAAGTGAGTGGCACATGCCACTCTGTCTTTGGAAACATCTGACATTTCTCTGATCATACACATATATTTCATATCAAATTTATGCACAATGGAAATATTGTGTCATGTTTAGCCTTTGTTTTTTGGTGCAACTGTGTTTTTTCCCAGCAGTGACTGAGCACAGCTGTACTGATGAAAATGAAACATGAAACATGACGCTACGTAATATCTTTCCTTCATGCAGACTTATAATAAATGATTAGTTTATTACAATGTATGTAATGGTAATGTAATGGTGGCGCAGTGTTTAGTGGAAACACTCCTACACCTACTGTTTAGTTATCTTCATCTAGATCTGCTGTATGTTTGTGTGAGAGAGAAACAAAGAGGCAAGAGGTAAGGGGGGGTTGTGTACAATGTGCTCCTGTATCTGTCTTAAGTTAAGTCAAACCGTTCCCACACAGAGACCTACATCTGCTCGACGAGTGCATGCGGTTGTGTGAACTCGCATCCGTGCATGAACGTATACATGAGCTTGTGAGCGAGTGCATGAAACTGTGTACACATGCATTGAGTCAGATGTGTGTGTATGTGTGTGGGTTGATCAGGGTTGCGTTTCTGAGCCGAGCTGTCTAAGCTTCGTTATTTGATCTCTCTTCTCTTCCTCGGGTAGAAAACTGTAATTTGTAGCTTTGTCACAGCAGCGTCAAGTGGAAGGAAAAAGACTGCGAGCAGTGATCAAAGAGTTTAATATATCAGATGATCTGACATGGGGAGGCTTCCTCTAAGTCTAAAATCAACAAGTTCCTCTCCTCCTCCTCTTCTTTGTTACTATTTTAACCTTTCCATCTTCTTTATCTTTCTCTGTCCTCTCCTCTTTATCTGTGTTGTGTAATTCTTTCTATCACTGCTCTCTCTATGTCTCTATATTCCTATCTATCTGTAACTTTGGTGCAACAGACTTAAATACCATAGACCCTCATACATGGTCATGAAATACAGCAGCAATGGAGGAAGTATTCAGATCCTTGATTTAAGTAAGAGCAGTAATACAACAATGTAATACTCTATAACAAGTTAATTTCCTGAATTCAAACCCAAGCCTAAATAAAAGCACAGTTATCATAAAAATGTACTCAATAATCCTTTAGATCTTTGTGCTGGTGGATTTGGTGACACCTGTGGTTACTAGTGGTAAGAGCAAGCGTGGTTTAATACAACAGGTAACATGATGCAGCTCTGATACAGCTATAGGTGATTGAGCGGTTAACAGTGAGACCAATATCAATTAGATAAAATTACAGTATTATACATTAATAACAGTAGAAGTGGAAGATATGTACTTTATTAATCCCCTATTGGGGGAAACTACTGTCTAGAGAGGAAATTAGATATACTTACTATACACTTGTGGACATGCAACAGGG